TGGAGCTGACTTGAAGGTTAAATATTAGGAAGGAATCCAATTTCTCTTGTCTATTCAGCTCAGCGGTGTGTTAGATTGCGGTTGGAGTGTGCTTATGGAGTGTGGGATATGAAGTAGGCTAATCAATCCCTGCTGCTTCATTCTCAGGTTCTTCTTATATCAGGTCCCTGCCCTCAGGCAGCCTTCAGCTTTCCAAAAGCCAATTCCATACAAATAAAAATTGCGACCTGCAGCTAGAGGGTGAAGCTGAGTTTTCCCCTCGTGATTAATCTCTTCTTGGGTGGCTTTCAGGAAAAAAAAAAAAAAAAAAAAAGAAAAGCAAAAAAAAAAAAAAAAAAAAAAGGAAAGCTAAAAAAAAAGGAAAGAGAAAAACCATGCTGCAGCCCTGTGAAAGAGTTTTCCTATTGAATGAGCCCAGTGCTCTGGAGCCAGCTTATCAAATGAAAGAATTCGTTTTTTTTAACAGTGCCTTGTGTTGACATTGAGAAAATGAGCTATCAAACACTATGATTAAACTTCAGCTGCCATAATTGTCGTCCGAACAACTGCATGGTGGAACTGAAAAGCATTTTTTTTTTAACCAGCTCTATATGGTTCACCAGTAATACTCAGTTTAAAAGGTTGTTGCTGCTAGCAAGAGAAACAAGGCTTGAAATTAACTTTTTCCAATCCATAGACAAAATTAAACATAGGTATTTGAGTCACACAAACAACAGGTAAATCAGATGTGCTTTAACTTTCATTTTAGTCATTTTATCTGCCAAGGGGTAGCTCCAGGGTATTAAAATATCTGAGCACTTTCTTGTTTCACTGCATTTGACTGGATGGGTCCTGCCTTTTATTTTGAGAGAGAGACAAGACAGACAAAAAGAAATGCAAGGAAAGGTGGCTTAAATACTCAATGTGGTGTGAGTGGGGGTAGACTGAGGGGAATCTAGGGATTTGTGGAGTATTTTCCCTGCAACTAAAATTAAAGATTTGATATGAGCAGGGGACAATCTAAAATACAATTGCCACACTTCATGAAATTATTGCTTAGTCTCATTTCAGGCCCGGACTACTGCATTCATTCAGTTGAGGCTTACAGGGATACTAAGTATTTTATATTACTAAGTATTTTATATTAATTCTCAGCAACCTTTTTACATACATCCTCAAGAGACTGTGGCTCATCAAGGAGGCTGGAGAAGTCCTTCAGGGAGGATGGTTAGAGGCATGATAGCTCAGGAAGGTGACACCCCTAGTGACAGCAGCCCTCCAGCCAAATGTAATACTTTGGGAAATGAGCTGTTGCACAATTAAATCTCTGCTTAAGATTGTTAAAAAAAAATTCAAATACTACAGGACAGATGACAGTGCAGTGAACATGAAGGAAATAATGATGGGGAATAACTGAGGACCAGATTAGGAGAATATAAACAGTTTAAATTGGAATATTTCCTTGCCACTTTCCTGAGCTTACCAGAAATGAGCGTCTGCTCTCCTTCCTGAAGGAGGGCTCCATAAGATGGGCTGTGTGTGCTGCAGCCAGGTCACAGGGCTGTAAATCAGGATGGGGATGAGGCTGTGCACATTCACCTCGGCTGAGGATCTGGCCTTTGCCTGGAAGGAAGCGCTTTCCCCAGAAGGAAGCGCTTTCCCCAGTGAGTCCTCAAACCTCTGTAACCAGCACTGCCCAGCACTAGGTGTCTGCCCCCCCAGTAGCCCACAGCACTGCACTGTCCGTCCAAACATCTCCCTTCAGAAGCTCTCATGGCTTTTGACAGTCCTTCCATCAAATTAACGGTGCATTATTTTTTGAACCTAAACGCTTTTTTTTTTTTTTTTTCCTGTTTCCACCCTACTCTACCTACTCAAGCAGGTGTTTTTGCAAAGTCAATTACATAACCTGATCATCGTTCTGTTTCCTGAACATATGGGAATAACATTTTGAAATAACAACAACATTTTAATCATTTTTAGAGTCTTTCACACTCTGAGCTTTACTTTACCCCTTTCCAAGAGTAAATCTGATAATGTGTAGGGCTTGTTCAGGATACACAGGGGTTGAGGCTATTGCTTGCAAACAGATTTCATGATTTGAGACGAGCAGCTGGAGAAGCAGTGAGGTGCAAGATGACTTAGGCATGGGTAAGAATTAGGAGCTGAGCTGGAGAGATAGGGACAGCTTCCAGAAAAACAAGTTTAGCAACAGATTGGATGCTGTTGATGAAAAATAACACAGGTCTGCAAATCTAGGGAATGGTATCTATTCAATAAAAAAAATAATAATTTGCACATGTAAAACTAAGAAAACTCTAAGTCACTCAGATCTGTTACTTCCATGACACTCTCAACAGCTTATTTAGCAATCTAGTTTTAGGATTGTTCCCACCTGCTGGACTGCACACACTAAGTTATTATTATAGGGTTGCTTATGCATGCTGAGCTGCATTCCCATGTTTGCTATTTGTAGGGTCACTCAGACATGCTGGCTGGATCATGACTATTTTCAAGCATCCTGAGCTGCTGGAAATTATTCATTTATCAGAAGCAACAGCAAATATATTTGTGTGAGAAACAAAGATATGAAAAAAGTACTCTTAAGCCAAATTTGGGGCCAAGCTGCAGAGACTCTGGGCAACATATTATTCATTCATCATAAGCTTTGCAATATGAGGATGGCAAAGTTATAATCGATTAAGAAAACACAGTCTGACATTGCAATACTCTTAGCTTAAGGAAACCAAATAAAATATCACAGCTTGTTCAAAAAGCTTATTTTGAAATCTCAGTATAAATAAGAGGTATAAACACACATTCTTCCTGCTAGCTTTTGGGTGAACTGTCTGATATATTTGCTGCTGTGCAGAAAGCTAAATTGGCTTTTAAGATGAGTCTTTCATAAAAGGCCTTGGAATTATCTCTTATTCCTCATCTCCTACATTTGAAATGTTTTGATTTAAAGAATCCAGTCTATTGTTCCTGTAATAAACTTAACATTTATGAAGAGATGAGCCTAATATGGTCACCTTTAGAGAAGGACACAATTTTGATTTTATCCTCAGGAAATCTTATGGAGCACCATTGCAAATGAATTCCAGGCAGTATTGGAGATGTGGGAAAGCACTGAGATGATACACCTGCAGGTTGCTTTGGCTTTAGGTTGTTCTTTGGCTAGAAAGAAAATGTAAAGTTTGGACTAGCTGGTAAGGAGAAAGGGAACTCCTGGCCTCTCTGCACTTGGAAACTGTTCCTGAGGACATCAGCCTGCCAGGCTTTTCTCTGGGTGACAGAAGTGCTGGGCTTTAACTTGCACACATTGTGCTAAAGCAGCAATAAAACTGTGACAAACTGACAAAAGCAGGTCAATTCACAGCTCAGGCTGACACCACTTTTTCAGCTCATATTGGTCGATTACCAGTCAAATTTCAGGTACAGGAGAGAGAGTGGAAGAAAACCGCAGCACTGAGACACATCAAGATACGGCAATCACGGCTCACTTAGGGACCCAAGCAGTTCCACCTCTTCTGCTCTGTTTTTCAGCAGCCCTCACCACTGCAGGTATGCCTCTGATAGCTTGTGGGAGAAGCCCCTGGAGACACCCACGAACCTGGCAACTTACTAACCTCCCAAACCAGACATAAGCAGGAGCCTGCAGAGGAGATGCCAGGCAGATCATGTGTGACTGGGACTCCCAGGACCAGGTTTCTGAGACAACTGGGCTGTGGAGGGCCCTCTACTCACAGCCCCCCACTGGCACTGGTTAGACTAAAGGCTAGTAACATATTCCCATGTATGTCAGTGCCTGAGGACCTCTTGCATGTGGGGTTTCTTTTCTTTTCCATCCTTTCTCCACAATCCCAAAGGCAGGCAACTGTTCATACAACACAGTATCTCTGCTTTTAAGCTGGCATGTTCATCCACTGATGCTTTGTTTCTCACTGTGTTCAAACTTTGGTTAAATTAATACTTTACAGTAAAAAACAGAGCTAATCTTATCACTGCTGCATGAGAATAGCTCTGACTGACAACCTTTCTAAAAACACAAGCCCATGACTCAGTGCACACAACACAATTTGTGAGGGGCAAAATGAAAACTGCCTGGAAAATAACTTCAAAGTAGAAGAGGAAAAATAATACATAGGATAACAGTATAACAGACAGGCAAAAAACTTGCTAAAACCCCAAATATCATTTACTTTCCTGCTACAGGTCATTCAGAGGAAAGAAGGATCCTGCATCCTCACATTCAGATTTAACTATATTCCTACCTATATTTTTACTTTTTTATGCAAATTTCTTTGCCCCACTTTTCCCAAGCTGCCTACAAAGAAATTACTTGTATTCATAAAGTAATTTTTCTCCTTTTGCATTATCAGAATTGACTGCCTGTCCCAGCCTTATGAGCTCCTCTTTCTCAAAACTGTAGGAGGGAGAGCTGGACTTTGGTGTTCAGGACCAGCCTTGGATCTTTCAGTCCACCCTGGGTATTGCAGGCTTAATGTCACATAATCCCTTTCATAAATTTACTTTTTGATTGGGAAACATCTCACACACTATGGCTGCTCCTATTAAAGTAATAGCAAGTAAATCCAAGGAGTCTCTTGCCTTTTTAAGGAAAAAAATATAACAAAAGTTAAACTCCCCTCAATTAAACAATGACTAAAACACATGGTAGCTTCCTTCAGACAAGCACAAGACAAAGTTCAGAAAAGTAGCTTGCTTCATCCAAGGGACAAGAAATACTTTCTCCTTCCCTGACTCATGCCATTAACAAAATTATCAAACCTCCTTCTTTCACAATGAACAGGAGTTCAGGAACGGTTATGGGAAATATACCTTTGTATTTTTTAACCTGATTTCTATACCAGATATCTGCACTAGGAGCAACAATACTAAGAGAAAGGGTTAACCCGCTTACCACCAAGCTTTCAGTGGTGTTTATGCTGATGTTTCTACCACAATACCAAGCAATATTCATCTCATCATTACAAAGAAAAGAGATAATCAGCACTTACATTGTCTTCTATTGCTTTCAGGAAAGCTGAAGCAGATCGGAGAGACCACGGTATCTTGGAAGCACCTGAAATAAAATAGATGGAAAGTTCTCACGAAGGCCATTCAGACTGCTTGCTGCCATCAGGGACTTCTGGAGCTCCAGAGGCTGGGCAGGGAGTGGATAACCAACGGGTGCCTCCTTTGAGAAAAAGTCCAGTGGTGGAGACATCAAGAGCTGGATGTACAATTGATTCAGTGATATTTACTCTCTGAGTTCTGGGGATGAACTGTGATTACAAATAGTCTTTTCAATCCTATTCAGCAGATACAAACGTGAGGTGAGTCAGTTTTTATCTTACAGCTGAACAAATAGCTGAAACAGAGAAAAATACTAAAGACACAAGTCCAAGTGCTCTGATGGTATATGTAATTGCAGCTATACTGGTTTTAACAGAATTCCACCTTTTTACATGAGCTGTTGTGAGTAGCTGTGCTTGTCCGAGTGGTTTTCCATGGTCAGGAGCCTATTAGGCATTCATAATAATTGCAGTTGGTAGCACTGCCAACTCTTAATGCTGCTTGACACTTCCTGGTGATTCCAGTTGCTCTTAATTTTGCCAGCTATTACTAATTCAGGCTGGAATTTGTATGCTGGCTATGTACCGCTTTGTTGAAATTGTCACCAAAACCAGATGCCCCTTCCAAAGATTAAATTATATAAAAATACACTATTTTGCCACTGTTCAATACATATATACACTTCCCCCACCACCACCCCCCCGTATATGTTTCTGTTCGGTTTCTACCATCTAATTGCAGTATTACACTATTTCCACTACAGAAATTTTGCAATTTAGCAGAAGGAGAAAAGGAGGGCATGTCCCACTGTTAATACTGCTGACTACTGAAGAGGATCATGTATCGATCTGCTCCTTATCAATTCTCCTCACACTGGAAGTAGTCTGTGTCTTATCTTTCCAGTTGGGCTGGGTTCCCTCTCATTTGATCACTGGAGAAAAACCTAAACTTGGCTAAGGGTTGGACAATAACATCTGGTGCAGGTTTGTTGAAGAGTGTGTAGTAAGGCACATCTCAACAGGAACAGGGTGTCAGGTTATGGCCCTTAGTAAATTATTCACCAATGACTCACTAAGCTGTGTTAATTAACATGAATGACAATATATATGTAAAAAGATCCTTGTGTTTGGTTATGTTATTATGTAGGAGCATTCCCGCAGCTTTATGAAAATGTTCTATAGTTTCTATATGTTTGACTTCGTATTCAAGAGGAGAAGGTAAAAATAGACAGTCTGCTAAAACAGATTTTATTGTAACTTATTATTCTATAAAGTAATTGGAGACATTATTAGAGATGATGATTACTTTGTGATTCTATCTAGAGAAACTGTACTCAAGGCCTGGCAGCCTGTTTGATGGGACTGCACTTATTCCCCTTTTTGGGAACCACCCATTATAGTGGCTGTTTTAAGTCCAGAGGAAGGTAATCAGACATGTACCCCACTAGCCACAAAAATAAGCTGTCCACCTTTTTATTTTGGACCTGATTGTCAATGGTATAAACTGACATAGCACCACTGATGCACAGTTTCAGGCAGATTTGAGAAAGTGCCAGTTCCTGCCCCTTCATTCCAGTGGGGCTGTGCTTACACCCACTGAAGACGTGGCAATTTTCTTTTAAACATGCATGAGGCATTAATTCCCGGAAACAGGTCCCTTTGAGTTTGGGCCTTTCAAAAAACATATCTAAAACCCTCAAAAGGTAAAAGAAAACAGAAGGGTTGAAGAAAAATTACTTAATTCAGTGACATTAGAGATAGATGTAGTGATAAAAGAAAACTTCAAAAAGGCTTGAGTGGAATTTAAGATAAATACATTAATTAAGATATAGTTAACACAGTAATCTAAAATTTCCTGGAGACTTAATGAGTTTGGAGCCACTAAAGCTGCACTAAGCACAGGAGACGTAATCAGAATCAGAACTGACACATAGCTCAAAATCATTTCAATTATCTCTTTCATTTACATTAGCCAGAAAAACAGTAAACAGTCAATGGGATATAAGAAGCATAGTCAGGCAACATCAGTGGGCAACAGACAAAGGCTAGGTCATACAGTATACTGAGAAGAGAGCTTGACCTTTGGAATTTAAATATAGGCATTTTAAGCTCCAGTGGAATGTATCAGAATGGCCTTTTTCAACTTAAATGCATAGAAGGTCAAGGGGAGGTCATATTTGGCTTTGGGTTCATCAGCACAGAGCATATCCCAGACCTTTCTTTATTCATTCTCATTTAAAAAAGGGTTTTCAAACCTCTCTGGCATGGCATGGCATAAATATTAACTCTCCAGGGCCAGATTTTCAGTTGGTGTAAAACAGGATAACTGCACTGAAATAAAGAATCTTTGCCAATGTATACGATCTCAGATTCCGGCCATCCTGTTCACATTCTTCTAAGATACAGAAATGGCAATTTTGAAACTTTTCCTGGAGTAAATACTCCCAACAATAATGATGCATGCTGAAATTTGAGACTTTAACATTTAAATTGTCTGAAGTTTTCTCTGAAAGGCATGGCAGGAGGTATCCTCCAGAAGAGCCAAGGGGAGAGTAAATACTGCAACAATCTAGTTTAATGCTTCTCTATGTGTTCACCCTTCAATAGTAGTTTTACGTCTTTTTCAATACTCCCACAATTCTTTTTAGACAGGAAAGAACTTCTCCGTTCCCTTATAAATTGCTCTGAAAATGGAGAAAGACAAAAATAAAAGGGCCACTCACAAATGACATCACTGCCACATTAACAGAGCAAGGAGAGACCCAGTAGCCTGCAACAGGACTAAGCGTCCATAACAGGGTGCCATTTTGCGTCTATACTGAATCAATTAATTACACAGAAACTGGATGAATGTGGGGTGATCATCCGCAGTCAAATGGCTAGCCACTCTAATGAAACAAGTATCCACAGTTACTTAATTTGCGTATCAGTTAGTCTCCTCTCTGAGAGAAAGGATGAAATCAAGTTTGTCACTGTTCAGTGACTATTTCCAAAGGATCGCAAATGTGCCTTACTGCCTGAACCCAGGTATTTCATATTCTACTTCCTTAGTGCACAAAGGTAATTTCTAAGATATTGGTAAAGAAATCTCTTTTTTACGATAGAGAGTCCATTTGAAGAAATAAAATAATATCAAACTTCTGCTGCCCTGGATAAATATTTTTATCCTAAAATGGATAATAAATAGGAGCTTTTCTTTCTTTTTCTTTCTGGAGAGTTTCAGATGACACTATTCAACAATTTTTAGAGCCTCTTGGGAAGAAGACAGCTCACCCCAGGTGGCATTCGTTTTCATGTGGCATTTCTTAGTCTTTATCCAATTTCAGTTCTGTCCCTCAGCATGCAGGACAATCAACACAAAACAGTCAATATTTCTCCATATTGAGAGTCAATTCCAAAGAATAGAATCTCATTTTATTTTTTATTTTATTTGTCTGTAATATGCTTATCCTTAAATGAACATTTTAGCCACAGATTCCAAATTATGCATTCATTGGAAAGATTAACTCTGATTAACAAATTCATGCTAAACAACTGTGTTTAATTGGATTTTTGTAAGTAGCTAAATGTGAATGCTTCTCAGTTCTTCTATGTAGAAAACAAAGCAAAAAGTAATTTTAAAATATTTAACAAGGAACAAACTCTGTGCTGCTGACCTATCTTCACTGGTGATATACCCTTCTTCCTTGCATTCCCCTGCATGCAAAGTTCTCCTAATCTAGTCCTAATAATGGTTAAAGTTATCTGTCTAATCAAACTAATTAGCACTGGTGAACGGAGACATAATCATAATAGAAAGCAAATGCCAGTTTTACAAAATGAAAACGCCATATGTGCAGTAATTAGCGAACCACAGGCACTTTTTATAAATCATATTTATTAGTTCGTAAACAAATCAAATCCTAAATGAAATGAAAGTTACCATTAACAAACACCAGTGAATAAACAGATACAATGAGTAGCCCTGCTGAGTGCATCACACAAGGAGTTGTGCAAGGGTACCCCCCTCTCCTGAAAGTTCCCTTAGATGTGTTCAAGGCTTTTTACAGAGTACTTCAGTGTCATCTTCTTTAAGTCACAGCATGGATGTATAGCTGATCTAGGGAAGCTGCAGTTTGATCATATGGGCTGCTCTTGTCTGGAGACCAGATGGTCATAAATTAGGATATTCAGGTTACATCCATGATGAAAAATGTAGTACTAATAAGTACCCTAATAGTGTTCTACAGCAGACCAGGTTTCACCAGAAATTTAATGTGGATTTTGTCACCTCACATAAATGATGATGTAGTATGAAATATATTTAACAGCAATCCCCACCACTCCACCCCCAAAAATGCCAAAATACATGAACCTCTGCTTGGCTTTAAAACCCAAATCTTCTTCCTTTTACTGATGGTGTTCAGGTCACTCCTTAAAGGCGATTATAAGAAAAGACAAGGATTTGTAATGAGAACATTTTTGCAGGCTATAAATTCTCCTAAAAACTCAGCTTAAAGGAGTTTCAATTACACATTGATCACTTCTTTCTCACTAAGAAGCTCAGTATCTGGCTGATAAAACCTAGCCAGCAGAGGCACACTTTCAGCTGGCTTTAGCCTGAACATACAAAGGGCTATTTTACACCTCAGACACGCAGCTTAAACATATAGTATTGGAGAGACACACAGCCCAGATATATAGTATTGGAGGCTCAGACTTAAAAACCTGACTCAATACTCACAGGAAGACTTAGTTAAAATTAAGAAGGTTTGTAATAAATAGCACATATCATTACATATCTGATCAAAATTTTCACAGCGTTCCTCTCCCACAGGAAATACTGGCAGCAGAAAAATGATGACTAGAGATATTTTTGGAGGTACAAAAACTATTTAATTCCTCTAGCTGTTAAAATAGTCCATAGGCTGAGACCTCATCTTTACATTAAGCACTGTTGGATTTAATTTATCCCGCCTATTTCCATGCTTTGGGCAGGGACCAGCCTTCCTTTCTACAATTTTGCTTA